GACCAATCCACCTTCACACGGGCCCACCTTCAACATTTCTCCCCTAGCTACTATGACAGCCTCCTACCTGGCTTCCCTGCCTCCATCCTTCACCCAGCAGTCAGTGACAGCTTTCTAAAATCCGTGTCACTTCTCTAATTCAGTATCACCCCACCACCTTCAGGGGACAGCCAAGCATGGCATAGAATTCACGATCTGCAATCCCTCCAGACTCTTGTTTTGACACACACCCAAGTACTCACTCACCTTTCTACAAACACAGGCATGCACACGCACATATTCACAAATGCTGGGATACCCATCTCTCCCTTTTCCCACTCTCCCATCTGTTGGACAAGTAGCTGCTGACCCTGCAAGTCTCAGATCAAGATTCACATCTTCACGGAGGCTGCTCTTATCCCTCCCTCCACCTCCAGTCTGGAACTCATACCATGTAGGGCTAGAATCCTACGGAAGCTGCTTTCTCTACAGAGAAGATGACTCTGTGTTGCAAAAGAGTATGAGTAACCATTAACAGACTTGTGATTTCCTCCAATTTGTACAAGAAGTCATTTCTTTACCATGGTGTTCCAACTGGTGGGATGACCGATTTTTAAACCCATTGCCAAACAGTGCTAATTTCCACTGCCAAAGACAATGTTAAACAAGCGCACCTAATTCTTAATGTCATTATCAGTGCTGGAAATTACCCTTATTTTCAAGTTTGCTAATTTAGTAGATAAAACATCAGGCATCATTTTAGTTTGCATTTTATACCTAGTGAGGTTGACCGTTTTTTTTATGTGGTTGAGGATTGCATCCCACCTTGTTACAATGATCTATTGAAATTATTTTCTATTAGAATCTAGTGGTTTTCTTGATAATCTGCAGGAGCCCATTGTGCAAACCAGGGAGGGACACAAAGATTCTCCTCAACATTATTTGTAATAGCAATACAAGAGGACACTTCATAAGGGAATAGTTCAAACATTCAGAGAGCAACACTTCTGTAGAACATTAGGCAGCAATAGAAATGCTAAGGATAAAGACTTCGGACCATGGCAAATGCTTACTGTGTGGAGGGAAGGCAAAAGCAATATAAGATTGCTTCGATATCCTGATTATAGCTGTGCAAAATGCACTATGTGCTGGGTCCCAGAGAAGCAAGGATGAGCAAGTGTCCCTTCTACTGAAGAGCTCGCAGTCCAGCTCAGGGAAAGAAATATAGCACCAGACTGTTTTGGTGCAATGTGAAAAATGTTTCCATAGAAGGGGATGCAGCAGGTAGTGGGAGCTCAAGGCATAAAGCCGTAGGAAGGCTTCTTGGAGGCAATGATGTCCGAGCTGAACCTTGAAGGACTGAGTGATTGGTCCTGCTGATGGAGTTGGCATCTGCTGGACTTGGAGCCCCAAGCAACTGATGTTCAAGTATCGCTGACTGGTCCTCCACCTGCAGGCTGAGCCTCCTACTCTTGGCAACCCATCAATTCAAAACTAAAGCAATGTTATGTGCATGGTCCTATATGTTCCTCAACAACTCTCTGAGGGAGGTATATTACAGCTTATTCCACAGCAGGAGGAAGCAAAGACTAAGGAGGCTAGATCTCTTGTGTTGAGTCATACCAGCTTCAAAAACACAACCGAAAAACTCCAGAGCTCATGCACATAACCCCTGTGCCAATGTTTCTGGAACCTCCTGCACCAGAATCATGTGGAACGACTGATAAAAATCAGGATCCCAAGACCCTCTCTAAAGAGACTGAATTTAAACTTCCGGGGATGTGGTAAAGGCATCTGGATTTTTTTTAAGCATGCTTTCTAGATTATCTATGCAGACACTGAAGCTCGAGAACCAATGAAGGGCATGCCACTTACTGACATATTCTCAAGAATGTTTTCACCTGTCTGGTTCAAGCACTCACTTTCCATGGCCCAGCCTCCACGCCTGCTGTCATCATTGCTTGCTGCTTAGGACAAGGTGTATGTGAGATATTCCTAAGAACCAACCAGGCCCTCAGCTGGGGTCCTCCCTCTTCCAAGAATACTTGACCCTCCAGCTGACTGAGCTCATCATCGTGTTCAGAGCTAGAGTGCAACCCGTCTTCCTTCTCATTTCTATTTGACACTGGCAGGAATGAGACATCTCCTCTGCTAACTTAATTATGTCCATCATCACTAAAAGAAATCCACTGAGCTTCATCAAGCCTGGCAAGTTAGGGAGATGCCTGCGTCTCAGACACCGACATCAGCAACAGAAACAGATGCTGGAGGCAGACAGAGGAGGGGAGGTGGAGGCTGTCAGAGGTCAAAGGCTCCAGGACTTAACGTCATCAGCCAGGGTTGCAGAAAGAACCTGGAGTCAGGAAAACCCAGGCCTACGTCCTGTCTGCCTTTTGCAAGCCGTGTGACCTTGTCCTTGCCCTTCACCTCTCTGCCTCTCGGTTTCCTTATCTGTTAAATGGGCATAGTAACAATGGCTCACAGGATTATTGTGAGGGTCATTTGAGCAGATGTGTAAGGCATGAACTAGAAATACAAGCTGATTCTAAGTGAGCCACTTAATGGCAAGGATGGGACTTATTTTGCACTGAAGAGTAGGTTTTTTTGTGGGAATGGGAAAACTGCAAAGCTTTTTTTTAAGGTTATTTGCAAATATAAATGTACTTTCTTTAAAGGTCTATTAAAAAGTGGTAAAATACTAAGAGAAAGGAGGCGACAGGGCATTTCCTGACCAAGCTGAGCTACTTGGGGTGGCCTGCAGGTGGGGACTGTCTGGCTCCTTCCTCTCCCTGCACTCGCCCTTGCCCACACCTCCTGGCACTTCATCTCATACTTAAACACCCACCACATGAGGCCTCCCCTCGACCACCTGCACGCTTTTCCTTCTGGCTGTTGGTCTTCCCATGAAGAGCCATGTCCTCACTCGGGACCCCCTCCAGGCCCTGCTCAAATCCCTCTTTCATTGGCCTGGCCCTCCCAGATGACCCACAGAACAGCATCCCTGCACCTGCAATCTTCCCCTTGCATGGATCACCATCCCTCACCATCTGACCAGCACCATCCCTCACCATCTGACCAGTTTACTCAGCTGTGCTCAGCTGCTGCCCCCAAGTACCCAGACTGCCTACTTGTTCACATCTCAGCACCTGGAAAACTTCCTGGTCACTCAATAAATAATCAATACCATCTAATTAATGACTCAGTTATGTGGGTTCTGTGCCAGTTAATTCATACATCCAGCCAGAGAGATAGGGGCTATTGTTCCCATTTTATAGATAATGGAAATGAAGCTCAGAGGAAATGAGCGACTGGGCAAGGTCCCACAGCCAGTAAGTAAGGGTGTAAGTAATAGGAACTCAAATTCAGGTCCATCTGAATCCCATCCACAAACCCAGCACTTTGCCTCAAGCCTCCAAAGGGCAAGTACATAATGAAGGGGCTAAGTGGCTGAGAACATACTGGACTAATCAGAGACCAGTGTGACACACTGCACAGCCACATGATAGGCCCATCCAGATCCAAACCACGGCTAATGAACCCCTGACTCTCTGGCCTCACCACCCACAGCAGCAGCCCCTTTCCCAGGGCTGTAGGCTGTGAGAAACCTAGAGTACTCCGCAGTCCCCAGGGAAGCACTCAGTGAAGCCATCTGGCCCACTTGTCATGGGAGCAGAAGAAAAGACCTCTCTGCAAGGGTTCCAGGAAACTCACTGCTCCCCACCCAGGGTTCAGGGAAGGCAGGAGGGGAGCAAACCTTTGCTGATAATATTCTCGGCCCAGGCTCACACTGGCCCTTCCCCACCATCCCTCTTCTCACCCTCAGGACAGCTGTGCATGACGGAGGCCATCAGGGCCGTGCAGACCGGGCCTGTGACACCTCTAGGGAAACAGTTCACATATACCATGCGATGAGAGGCTTTACTTACAGTTGTGCAACCTGGTAACCCAGGGCATCATCCCATTTTAGAGAAATGAAAACAGAGGCTCAGAGACAGGACCTGACTTATGTAAGTTTCCCCAGTTAATGAAAAGCCAAGCTGGAATCCAAACCCATTATCTGATCCCAAAATCCACACTCAGCCCATCCACCACAGCACCTACACTCTCGAGCTCATGCATGTTAATTCATTTCGTCTTTGCTATGACCCAGGAAGAGAGGTATTAGAAATTAGCAAACTCCTCAATCGGCCCAAATCAAAGGGCTGTGATAAGGAATCACCTCCTATGTGATTTCAATCTAAAAAATCCACAGTGTTTCATTATAAACATGATCATCTTAAATAAGAGGTAAGTCTTGCTGCAGGAAGGTCACTGTTAAACACCACACAAACCAGCAACAGCCCACCAGACACACCAGGAACGAAAAAGGAAAAATACCTCAAGTGTCCCCCTACTTCTACCCCCTCTTCAATCAGTCCTGATGGACAGAACCCACCAGAACATGGTCAGCTTCTCTCACATAAAATCAGAATCAAAATCCAAGCTACTCTAACTCCAAAATTCAAACATTTTCCCCTATACTTCACTGCCTGTTAACATTATTTCATTCATTCTTACCCAAACACCAATTATTATCCTTATGGTGGCAGACTATATTTTCCAGAAAGAGCCACACCCCATCCCAGAGCCTTACCGTGTCCCCAGCAAGAGCTGCAGCCTGTGTGTCCTCTCCTTGAGCCTGGATGGGCCTCAGTGAGTGTGTTTAACAACAGAGGACCCAGTGACCACGCTGTGAAGAAGCCCAGGGCACATGAGGAGGCTGCGAGTAGATGTCCCTGCTGACAATCCCTTCTGAAATCTCAGCCAACAGCCAGCAGCCAGCACCAGATACATGAGTGTGGAAGCTCCAGGTGACTCCAGCCCAGCCACCATCTGACTGCAACCCCATGAGAGGTCTTGCCTAAGAACTGCCCAGCTGAGCCCAGAACCAGGAGAGATTATAATAATAAATGAGCATTGATGGTTTATACTACCAAATATGAGGTGGCTTGCTACACAGCAATACAAAACCAGAGACTCACCTTTAAAATGAGTAGCTGTGGCTCAAGGTTATGAAGTGATCTGTCCAAAGGTGAAAGGCAAAAAGCCAAATCTCCAGGCTAACCATGTCTGACACTGGGATGCTCTCCAGGAGCAGGAGGAAGGATGGGGAGGCCATTACTTTGCCACCTCATTCATTGCATGTGTTCCCTTTGGCTTATTAAACCACGAGGCCTTCTTTTACTCAGGAAAATAAAGGAAGGATGTTTGCCGGTGTCGTTTCTGCGTGGGGAGATGAATATAATATAATCCTGGTCTGTAATGACTATTCACATAAAAATCATGTTTTCTTTACAGAGAGCCTCTCTCCCTTTTTCTCTCCCTCAAATCAATCCAAACTGCAAGAACTATGAAAAGTACAGCCTTCAAGATGATCTTCAATCTGTCAGATTTGCAGTCCTTCATTATAAGCATAATCATCATAAATGAAAGATAAGGCTTGGTGCAGCACCGTTCATCATGGAAAGATGCTAACTCGCCAGCCCGTCTGTCTGTGAGAACTGCTGTTCTGTGTGGGTGAAGTGGGGGAAACGAAACCTGGAGGAGGTGGTTAAATGCCCCCATCAGCCAGGGGACGTTCGGAGGTGGAGCCCACCAGAACCGGCATGGCAGCCCAGGCTGAGCGAATTCCTTCCCACACACTTTCTGGTTCCTTCTCAAACTTCTCCAAGGCAACAGATTTTTCACTTTAAGATTTCTTTTTTGCTCAGAGAAAGAAAGAAGTTACCGCACACCTAGTTCTTACACTCCAGGCATTGTGGGGCCACGCTGTAGACAGTGTCTCAAATGCTTTATAGCTACCCTGGGAGGTGGGCATTATTTTGGGTAGCAGGAGTGGGGCTGCAGAGTCGAGACAGATGTGGGTTTGAATCCCCTGATACTCAGTAGCTATGCAAACTGATGCTCAATAAATGAATGCTTGATAGAGAGAAAATAAAATATAAGGCTTGCTCTCATTTTCATCCCATCCTCTTCCCTCTTACCACCACACATCCCCATCTACAAATGCATAGAAAAGGTTTAATCCTGCATAAAGACTAGGTTCACCATTCCCAAGGTAGAGCCCAGGCAGGTCGCTGCCTTCTAAGCTTATGAATCTCACCCCAATGGCAGACTTACTATCATCTGTAAGTAGAACATAACCAAGCCTCTTCCCCAGACCTGGGGGAGCTGAAGGAAGAGTCCAACCCCAAGGGGAGAGTGAGATGCACAGATCGCACCATCCTGAGAAAACTATGGGACCCAGGGGCAGTGCAGGGGCTGGGGGTATTGTCACAGCAGACTAAAGGCCTCTAGAAGAGTTGGATGTGATGAGAAGTAATAGAAAAATCCAGTAGGTGACCAGTAGTAGCCAGAATACCATGCACTTCCTGTCATCCCGACAGCTCTGGAGAGAACAAGGGGACCCAATGGTGCTAACCCTGCTCTCACCAAGAGCACCAGCTACTTATGGGACAGGCTGTGAATACCTACGGGCTCATCAGTCCCTTCTAATGGCATTACTAATTGCAGGCATACCTTGGAGATACTGCACTCATGGTTCTAGACCACCACAATAAAATGAATATCAGAATAAAGTGAGTCACACACATTTTTTTGGTTTCCCAGTGTGTATAAAAGTTATGTTTATACCATACTGTATTTTTAGTCCATTTTCACACTGCTGATAAACACATACCCGAGACTGGGTAATTTATTTTTTTAAAACAAAAACAGGTTTAATGGACTCACAGTTCCATGTGGCTGGGGAGGCCTCACAATTATGGCAGAAGGTGAAAGTCATGGCTTACACAGTGGCAGAGAGAGAATGAGAACCAAGCAAAAGGAGGTTTCCCCTTATAAAACCATCAGATCTTCTAAGATTTATTCACTACCATGAGAACACATGGGGGAAATCACCCCCATGATTCAATTATCTCCCACCAGGTCCCTTCCCCAACACATGGGAATTATGGGAATTATAATTCAAGAAGAGATTTGGGTGGGAACACAACCAAACCATATCAACTGTAGTCTATTAAGTGTGTAGTAGCAGTCTGTCTGAAAAACAATATACATACCTTAATTTAAAAATACGTTATTGCTAAAAAATGCTACCAATCATCTGAACCTTCAACAAGTCCTAATCTTTTTGCTGTTGGAGGGCCTTGCCTCGGTGTTGATGGCAGCTAACTCATCAAGGTAGTGGCTGTTGAAGATTGGGGGCGGCTGTAGCAATTTCTTAAAATAAGACAATGATGAGGTTTTCCCCATCGATGGACTCTTCCTCCCCAGAAAGATTTCTCTCCAGCATGCAAGCTGTTTGATAGCATTTTACCTACCACAGAACTTCTTTCAAAATTGGAGTCAACTCTGCCACTTTATCAACTACACTTACAGAATATTCTAAATCATTTGTTGTCATTTCAACAATGTTCACAACATCTTCACCAGGAGTAGATTCCGTCTCAAGAAATTTTCTTTACTCATCCATAAGAAGCAACTCCTCATCCATTCAAGTTTGATCATGAGATTACAGCAATTCAGGCTCCACTTCTAATTCTAGTTCTCTGCTACTTTCACCACATCTGCAGTTACTTCCTCCACCAAAGTCTTGAAATGCTCAAAGTAATCCACGAGGGTTGGAATCAACTTTTGTTCCAAATTCCAGTTAATGTTGATGACCTCCTCCTATGAGTCATGCGTGTTCTGCATGGTGAGTTCTTTCCAGAAAGTTTTCAATTGCTTTGCCCAGATCCATCAAAGGAATCACTATCTATGGTAGTTTTAGCCCTACGAAATGTACTTCTTAAATAATAAGATCTGAAAGTTGAAATTACTCCTTGATCCTTGGGCTGCAGAATGGATGTTGTGTTAGCGGGCATGAAGGCAACATTCATCTCCAGGTACATCTCCATCAGAGTTCTTGGGTGACCAGGCGTATTGTCAATGAGCAGTCATGTATTGAAAGGAATCTTTTTTTCTGAACATCACGTCTCAACAACAGGCTTAAAATATTCACTAAACCATGTTGTAAGTGATGTGCTATCATCCAGGCTTTGTTGTCCCATTTATAGAGCACAGGCAGCATAGATTTATCACCATTTTTAAGGTCCTAGGCTTTTCAGAATGGTAAACCAGCATCGGCTTCAACTTAAAGTCACCCAGCTGCATTAGCAGTTAATAAGAGAGTCAGCCTGTCCTTTAAAGCTTTGAAGCCAGGCATTGACTTCTCCTCTCTAACTATGAAAGTCCTAAAGAGCATCTTCTTATCTAATATACAGCTGCTTCACCTACATTGAAAATCTGTTGTTAGTGTTGCCACCTTCATCAATTATCCACCTAAATTATCTTCTGGATAACTTGCTGCAGCTTTGACATCAACACTTGCTGCTTCACCTTGCACTTTTATGTTATGGAGGCAGCTTATTTCTTTAAACCTCATGAAATAACCTCCACTAGCTTCAAATGTTCTTCTGCAGCCTCCTCACTTCTCTCAGCCTTCATAGAATTGAAGAAAGTTAGGATTTTGCTCTGGATCATGCTTTGACTTGGAGGAATGTTGTGGCTGGTCTTATCTATTCAAACCACTAATACTTTCTCCATATCAGCAATAAGGCTGTTTTCAGTTTCTTATTATTCATGAGTACACGGGAGCAGCACTTTTAATTTCTTTCAAGAAGTTTTCCTTTACATTTACAACTTGGCTAATTAGTGCAAGAGGCCTAGCTTTCAACCTGTCTCAGCTTTAGACATCCTTTCTTCACTAAGCTTAATCATTCCTAGCTTTTGATTTAAAACGATAGACATGTGATCCTTCCTTTCACTTGAACACTTAGAGGCTGTTGTACAGGGTATTAAATGGCCTAATTTCAATGTTGTTATGTCTCAGGGAGTAAAGAGGCCCAAGGAGAGAAAGAGATAGATGGAGGAATGGCTGGTCAATGGAGCAGCCAGAGCACACCATCTTATTTGGACACGCTTCGTGGTGCCCCAAAACAGTTACAGGAGTAACATTAAGATCACTGATCACAGATCACCATTACGAATATAACAATAATGAAAAAGTGTGAAATATTGTGAGAATTACTAAAATGTGACACAGAAACACAAAGTAAGCACATGCTATTGGAAAAATGGTGTCAATAGACTTGTTTAACGGGGGTTGCCATAAACCTTCCATCTGAAGAAAAGAAATGAAAACCGTGAAGGGCAATAAAGCAAAGTGCAAAAGAACGAGGTATGCCTATACTAAATACCGATGACGCACTGTCACTCACACATCACATCTGCACCTTAATTCAAACAACTGTCCTAAAACAAAGTTGCATTGCAGTGCTTATAACGCAGGGCCCCCAAGCTCCAATTAATTTATAGGAGAATGGTTATTACTAGGGACCACTTGCTTGGAGGGTCCAAGCACCAAGGAAAAGTAAGATGCACAGATCTCAACATCCTGAGAAAACTGTGAGGCTCAGGGACAGTGTAGGGGGTGGGAGAATTGTCAAAGTCGCTTTTTTCCAGGACCCTGATAATTAAAACACCTTTTATATATCACCACAGTCCCGGGGCAATAAGTACTTTCCGAAAGAATGAATGAATAAATGGATGAGCCAAATGTTCCATTAGACACTACTGTATAGTTCGTATCATTTAATAAAGTGATGCTGCTCAGTACACTCACTGAGCCTCAGTTTCCCAATTTGTAAAAGAAAGACAATATGACCAACCTTACAGTGTTGTAAGGTTAAGTGATATATGTCCAAAGTCTGTCCACCTATAACCATCAATATATGTTCAATCAGGTTCAGCAAATACTGAATCACCTTTAGTGTTGTTGTTAGCTACCATTTATTTAGCATCTACTAAGTGCTAGCAGCTGCCTAGGCTTCCTAGGCTTCCTAATGCTTATAATAGCTCTTTAAAGTAGAAAGTATGATCACCTTTATCATGCAGTATTTATGAGAGCTAAAGAAGTAAAAAGGTTAATACAGAATAATACAATAACTTCCACTCCTAGAGAATGGCAGATCAAGTGCGCAAAGGCACTGTCACAAATCAAAACAAGACTGTCCTCAATAACATGGGCTTTTTGACACATCAATGGGCTTTCAAGGTACGTGGAAGTCTTCAAACCGGCCAGTCTTCCTCAAAATGTGAGCTAAATCTAAAGTTGGTAACATAGTTTGGCTGTGTCCCCACCCAAATCTCATATTGAATTGTTCCCATAATCCCCACATGTAGTGGGAGGGACCTGTGGGAGATAATTGAATCATGAGGGCGGTTACCCCCATACTGCTGTTCTTGTGGTAGTGAGTGAATTCTCATGAGATCTGATGGTTTTATAAGGGGTTTTCCCCTTTTGCTTGGCACTTCTCCTGCCCACTGCCATGTAAGATGTGCCTTTCCTCTTCCTTCACCTTCCACCATGATTGTGAGGCCTCCCCAAACATATGGAACTGTGAGTTTATTAAACCTCT